AATTTCGTTGTACAAAATGGACTGTAGCAAATAAATAATAGGGAATGGATGCAAAATGATTCAAATGTAGTAAAGGTTGTTATGCATAGAATATATAGAATGTTATATATAGAATGAAGAAAAAAGATGTATGAAATAATATACATACACACACACACACACACACACATATATATAAAGTTATAGCTACACAAGACTTATATGTACAGATAAAAAGAATCACAACAGATATATAAAAAGAAGTGTAATAATGTGTTGCAAAGATGTGAAGTTTGCATAAACAAAACAGTACGTTTAAAAAATAATAATTTCGTTGTACGAGGTGCAGTAACAATAAAGTAAACTAAGGAACTAAAATGTGTGCCAGTCAAGTGCCATATTGGCAGGGGTAGGAGGCCTTTCATCTTGGAATTGGCAATGGGAAACTTTAACGACATAATCACAGTTGTTAAGGAGGGTGCAATTCCAGTTAATTGTTTTCTCCGGAACTGGTTCTCTCTCTCGCTTTTGCAAAACCGTCTGGCCGAAACTGAATCGGTCGGTGGAGGCTGAGGGCCACCACGGTGGCGGAGAAATTTTGATCGACTTTGGAGAACAGCTGGTCTTGTCCAAAAAAAAAAGGGAGGAGGGGGAGAGAGAAAGCAGCATTTGAAACAGATGTTTGCATTATGAATATTCTTCGCTTCTGAAGCCAGGTTTCTTGTTTACGTAACCCTTACACGACAAAGAAACTTGGCTTAAAGAGCCATTAGCATAGTCTTCCTGTTACGACATCCTGCGTTTAATGACTACGTTTGAGGTAGAGAGAAGCAGTGGGAAGGCGTAATGGGATTGCAGTTTGCCTGCAAGGTCTTTAATCTTCTCTAAAGAACCACTTTGATGGGCTAAGCAGCAGGGTTAGAGAAAAGAAGGACTAGGGGGTGGTGAACAATGGATGGAAACTAATCAAGGAGAGAAGCGACCTAAAAACTAAGGAGGAATTTCCTAACAGGGAGGACAATTAGGTTTAGGGTTAATCCCTAACAGGCTTTGTACTTCCCTTTTCTGGTTCAGAGTCATATTCTTAATTAACAGTTTTGTCTTCTCTTTGTTTATGCTATCCTACCGTACTCCTACTTCTTCTTATAGTAAAGTTAATTACACCTGATAAGTACATCCACTCATTTAAAGCAGTGGTTCCCAAACTTGGCAATTTTAAGACTTGTGGACCAACTCCCAGAATTCTCCAGCCAGCAGAGCTGGCTGGAGAATTCTGGGAGTTGAAGTCCACAAGTCTTAAAGTTGCCAAGTTTGGGAACCACTGATTTAAAGCAACAACGACCATTTGTTGTTCTATCTATCTATCTATCTATCTATCTATCTATCTATCTATCTATCTATCTATCTATCTATCTATCCTGCCTACCCAACACTAGGAGTATACTCCCAACATGCCCCCTAGAGTCAGGAACGACTAGCACGTAATGTGTAAGGGGAACCTTTACCTTTTTCTGTTGTGTGAACCAAGTTTGTAATTGTCACGTGAATTTCATTATCTGTCTTTCTTCTCTCTTTGCATGCCGGCTGCTTGTTCTCCACTCCCAGGAGGAGAAAAATGAATATTTCCCGCTGCCTCTCGATCGTCACAGCGTTGCTAACCCTGGTGGCCCTCAAGGCCTACATCGAATGGACGGCCGAGCAGGAGGAGCAATACCCCGCGCCCCACGCAGCTCGGTTGCAAAGCGTCCCCATCACCCCCTTCCAGCCCTTCGAGGAAATCCCTCCGGCCTTTGTCTTCCATCATTTTAACGCCTCCTTGCAACAATTCCGCCAGAGCATCCCAAGGGCCAAAGCTTATTGGAACGCTAAACAGCACAAACATTTCCGGGCCTTGGAAGAAGGTTTAGGGGGCAACGCTTCCTGGAATAAATGCCCCAGTGCCAACCTGGAGGAGCTGGCCACCCAGATCAAACATTTCAACTCGTATCCGGAGCTTTATAAGAATTTCATTCTCTACGGGGACTGCAGGAATTACTCCCTCCTGATCAACGAACCCCGCAAGTGTGCCGAGACGAAGAATGGCGCCTTCTTGCTCTTGGCCATCAAATCTGTCCCCGGCAATTTTGCCGCCCGCCAAGCCGTGAGGGATACTTGGGGGCAAGAAGGAGAACCCGGTGGTCTGGCTGTCCGGACTGTCTTCTTGCTGGGCACGGCCGAGGGGCAGCAGGGACCCCACCTGCAACCCTTGGTCCATTTCGAGAGCCAGAGTTTTAGGGACATTTTGATGTGGGATTTTGAGGACACTTTCTTCAACCTGACGCTGAAGGACTCCCTCTTCCTGCGCTGGACGTTGGACTATTGTCGGGATGTCCGTTTCATCCTCAAGGGGGACGACGACGTGTTCATCAACACCCCGAAAGTCTTGGGGTACCTAAGCTCGGTGGATGCCAACGAACCCCTCTACACGGGGCAGGTGATGTCCAACGCCTCACCTTTCCGGATTCAGAGAAGTAAATACTATGTGCCGGAATCATTCTACGTGGGGCCGTATCCAGCTTATGCAGGAGGCGGGGGCTACATCTTCTCCGGACCCCTGGCCCTCTTGCTGCTCCTCATTTCTCGTCATGTGGCCTTCTACCCCATCGACGACGTTTACACGGGGCTCTGCTTCCAAGCTCTGGGCATCCCCCCTCAGCCCCACGCCGGTTTCATGACCTTCGATATTGCCGAGAAGGACCGCGAAGACCCCTGCGTGCACAGCCAGCTGCTCTTGGTCCATCGGCGCAGCCCCCAGCAGACCCTCCGTCTCTGGAAGAAAATCACCGATCCGAATCTCCGATGCGGACCGGAGGTGTCGAAACCCCAAGCGGAACAGCCGCCGGGATTCTAACCGAACGGCGGAACGTGAAGCTATTCCGATCTCTGGGCTGCAACGGAGAGTTGCTCAGGCCCAAATCCCATTGGAGTATTTCAGGGGGGGGGAGGACACCCCAACTTTTAGTGGACTTTTGAAGGACAGCAGCTGGAGATGGGCACCCCTTTAAGTGTCTGGTCGACAAGGTTGCGATGTTCTGAAATTCTTATTTGCCTTTCTGGAGATATCGCGATGGAAGGCAGTGCCGTATCAACAGTCCCGGAAGTGCCGTTTACAGATCTAAGTATCGTCCTTATTTTTCCCACCAGGGTGGTCGGAAAAAGGCCACAACATCTGCCTGGCCCTAGCTGAGAATGCCAGGGCTTCAAGTTTGCTTCCTCCGCCCCCCCCCCCAAAACCCGGTGCCCTCCCAATTGGCCTGCAATTGCTGGATTTCTAAGAGGAACCTTCCTCCAGATATGGAGGCAACACAAGAGGAAGAGAAATTCCTGGCTAGCTGGCCCAACCTGCCTGGATTGCCAGGAGGGGAAGTATTGTCCACAAGTGTTTTATTTATTTTTTCCCTTTAGGCCCCGAATTTTTGAGGGTCAATTCCCCCTTCCCCACAGCTGGATAAACCAAGAAACTGAGGCACGAAGCTTAGCCTTGCTAACCGCGGAGTGTTTCAACATGGGCGGAAGTGGCAATAAGACCCTCTAGAAGGAATGATCGCTGTGGTGAGAATGCAGCATTGCAGGCTAACTCTGCCGACTGCTAGCAGTTCGATACTGACCGTTTCAAGGTCGGACTCAGCCTTCCGTCCCTCCGAGGTTGGTCAAATGAGGACCCAGATTGTTGGGGTGGGAAGCAAGATGCTTTTTGGGGATGTCATTTGGATCCTAGGATAGCTTTGATGCCCGATAGGATCTGTCCCACCTTCTCCTTAAGGCTTTTGACTCCTGGGCTGCCGAGGTGGCGCAGTGGTTAAATGCAGCACTGCAGGCTACTTCGGCTGACTGCAGTTCTGCAGTTCGGCTGTTCAAATCTCACCGGCTCAGGGTTGACTCAGCCTTCCATCCTTCCGAGGTGGGTAAAATGAGGACC